GCACTATAGCGGTCGCAGTAACTTGTGCTGTTAGCGAATCCGTAATTGAGTCCATGTTTTCCCGATCTCCATACTCCGAACTTTGTTTACGCACTGCATGTAAAGAACGACCAACAGAAAGCACTATTTTATTTCGAACTTGCATACATCGTTGTTCATTTTAAATAAATAAAAACAACCAATTACAGCAACTAGACGAGTTAAATTATTGTTTTTATAATGAATGTTATAGTTTAGACAATTTGTGGAATTATAGGCAGTAGAAATTGTTGGGATTACGAGTGAGTGACGCCGCGGGCATTAATTATAGAAATGTTTCTATTAAATACGATCCTTCGATATTGTTACGACCAGTTCAAAGTATTATAACAGAGTATAAGGCGACTTGTACAAAAATCATAATTTGACTTAAATGTCTTAGATATGTGTATTATACACCAAATTATATGTTATACTACACCAAATTATATGTTACACCAAACTTACACCAAATTATATGTTATACTAAAAATAATATAAAAATATTAATTATATAAAATAGGATTTATATGTATTATTGTAGATTCATTATTTTATTCTTTATGTTGTCACTCTGATATAAAGTACTTATTTGAGTTTTCTGACGTTGTCATCTTGAGTAGTAAAAGGGCGGGAGCAGCGTTGTATTTTGTTTCATGACTTTTAAATAATGCGTTTATTTGGCCTACCTAACCTACTTCTGAGATAGACTCGTAATATTTATTATCCACTGTTTACCTAGCCTTAGATTAACTACATCAGCCGAAAAATTTCAAGTATCTATTGAAAATTTTTAATTTTAAATTGCGAGGTGCTTTGGCAGTAGAAAAAGGTACTTTCTTAATGTTTTTCTTGTATCTCTAATTTTTTTTAAACTACACGAATTATTATATTTTTGGGCTAATTTTCTAACATTAGATATTGATATTTTAATCAAATAAATAATTAATAATGCAAGAGTTAGTAAAGAATGTAGCCTTAAATCTGTTATACAAAAGAAGCCTCTTAACGTAGTGTGCTACGTGTATGAAAGAACTGAGTAGATTTACTGGTAAAAGAAACTTTTGCGTAACCATATTAGTAATCGTTTAATGACGTGCTGTGTACTTAGCTACGTCTCTAAGGTAAATGTATAGACTATTTTAGATACGACGACTGTTACTTTAGATTATTTTATTAGGCTTTTGTCGGCACCACAGTGTTATACTCACTGGTCTACTCTCAGATATTTCGCTTTTGATCGGCAAAAGCAAAATAAAGCCGCTTATGAATCAACTCCCATGGGCTCTTACTTTATTTTTACGATTGTTCTCTCTTGCCAATGAAAAATCATATACAAAATAATATAATATGTAACAGAGCTTGAAGAAAAAGTTTAATTTTTAAACATAGATATAGTTATTTTTTTACAATTTGTTTTATTGTTTTCATCAATTTCCGTAAGCTCATTTTGTAGGACAGTATATTGCGTATAATATACATCGATGTTAAACTGAGCGCCACAATTACATTGGTATATTACATCACTACGTTAAAAGTTGCTGTCATCTAACAATAGAGCAGCAAAAAGCCTTCAAGGATAAATAACAAAATGTGTCATTTATTTGCGACGGCGCAAGAGATGCGTATCTAGATTTTATAAGGACCTACCAATTAGGCAAAGTAATCCAGGGTTGTCATATGATTTATTAATTTTTATGATAGTAAAGACAAAATTATTAAAAAACTTACGCTAAAAACTATTTTCTATACGGATATGGGTTGTGCGAATGTTAATGCATGCATAAATGCATTAATTAAAGTCATCGACATAGTATTAAATAGTTTTTTTTTAATTTTAAATTATTTCAATAAGAAGAAAACAAAGTATTACTTTGTTGACACCATCTTTATGTCCTTTAAGAATACTTACAGAGATGGTACGGCAACACTTTGTAGTGCGTTTGTTTAATCTAAGACGAAAGCTTCTTTGACCTACGCAATAAAAAGTGTATTTTGTTGAAGTGTTGCCACTACACCATATCAGTCGTGGCATATAAACAAAGTAACCCACAACCCTGCCGTAAAATCTAAGGTTAACCGACTCGAGTCTATGAATCGATTTTAAATTCGTTATCTAGTTCAGCACTAGCATGTTTAATGAATAGAATAGAATAACTTACAAGCGGATCGGTATAATCGACACTGGGTAATCAGATTGCAATCGAAGTAGATTTATAAGGATCTGTAGTTTCCTGCTGTGATAGTTTATCTTTATCTAGATGGCTGCTTTCGTTTGTATACTAATGTTATTTGTTTCATGCATTGTGGAGTTACGTTGAGATTTACGTATGTATGTATACATTTATATAGAAATATTTGATTAGATTTTTTAAAATTATTTTTGTAAATATATCGTAGGTACTCACTTTATTCAAGTACGTTCCTAGGTGCCTTTCAGTAGCTTATATGTCCTATTATAAAGCCTATCTATGTACTAAATTACATCCAAATCCGTCCAACAGATTCATTGTTAATCTGATTATACTTGTAAAATATAATCAGATAGAATGAGATATTTTCCTGCCATAAAAAATATCCTAATGTTGACCAGGATAACCAGATATCATCATATCAAATTTCATCAAAATCTTACCAATAGTTTTCTCATGACGCGTTCCCAAACAGACAGTCGGACAAAAAATCTAAAACCTACATACCTATTCGGCCTTTGTATCGACAATAATAATATTTAAATAAGATTTTCCAAAAAATATTTAATGTACAGATTCGACTCAGAATTGTATTATATGTATAGATAATAATTACTACAGCGGTATTATGTATATAGTAAGGGGAACGGAAAAAATACTTGTATGTATAGAGCTATAGTTTAAAACATTTGCTATGAAGAGGAATCTTTCTTTACCTTTAAAGAACGCTTTGTTTTGTGGATATTATATATATATATATATACATATATATATATATATATTATGTGATTGTTTGAATAGAGATAGTTTATGGGTATATCCTGAGTGAATCGAAGGCCGTTTTTGTATGTGAAACAACAAAATAGCTATATTACCTAGAAGATGTTTTTAATATGTTTTTAAGTCAATGACAATAGAATTGAATAATCGAAAATTCTTTTTCTGTTCATAACATTCGGCCGCTATTATAAATTGCGAAAGTTTGTATGTAAGTGTGTTTGTTATCATTTAACGCCGAAACGTTTGGATGGATTTGTATGAAAGAAAATATATGTATTTCGTAGACATTTATAAATAGTTTCAACCACATTTATATATCTCGAGTAGTTTTAGACCCCGTTACATACTTATTAACGGGGCTATATACCTGAAATTAGGTGAGTGAGAAGGTACTGAAGATAGAGAACAATAAATAAAGGAAAGAACTCTCTAATAGACGCTGGTGCAGTTTTCGTATGTTAAACTCGCTATATACGCAGGTAGATTGTTACGTGTAGTAACATAGGATAGTTATGGCCGATTTCACCAACGTCACCACTTTAAGGGCTCCCCTAAGCATGGTTAGGGGGCTGTTAGGGGACAGTTTCTGTTTCACCGACAGTTAGGGGTCACCTAAATGTTAAAATGCCACCTAAATATAGGTACAAGAAATACTGGCTCTAACGATGGTAAAACGAAATTTAATTTAGGGGCTAGTTTAGGGGAACTTTTAAGCTAGGGATCTCATACGTAAGTGGTAGCTTATGGGATGTTGGTGAAATCGGACATTAGGCTCCCATGGACGCACCCGACCAAAGTGAGGTTGAATCACTAGTGTAGGTATAGTATAATATGAAACGATTCCATTGTATTATAATTATGCAAAGTTATCAGCTAAAGATTATTATAACACTGGAGATATTTTCGCCATACTTTATGACTTTATTAACTATTCTAACAAATGGATCGTGTCGTAAACGGATTCGTTTGGATTCTATTTGCATCTAGATGGAGTATTTAAAATACTAATGGTGTAACAGGTTTATCAGATACTTGGGAGGTTATGTGATTAATGATATACTTTAATATTTATATACTTATTTATCATTATACATTTTTATGCTATTTAGTATTTATATTTCAAACAGATATACCTAGCTGCCAAGTATAAAATAATTTAATAACAATATCGCTACGTATGTCATTTTCCCTCTCTTTTAAATATTTAACAACTGTTTTTAAATCAAATATAAAAACAGAAAAATAGAAAAAAAAGTTATGATGCTTCATAACAACACTCGCTAGTTATCGAGTTAGCAATTAGTTTATTATAGAAAGTTTAGAATTACCGAACGTTTCTATATAATAAGTCTAACTACAGGGATATATTATTATTCTTTACTGTCTCGGTGGTGTTGTGGCTAGCATGTACGGCTGCAAACCCGGAGGTCCTGGGTTGAAGTCCCGGGTCGGGCCAAGTTTAGTTATTGAGTCTTTCTGTATAGTAAGCCTCAGTAACAGTCCGGAGTTGGGAAGTTGGCGGTGTTTCACCCCCGTGCCTCGGAGAGCACGTAAAGCCGTCGGTCCTGCGCCGACACTCTCTCTGGTCGTGTCGAGTGGTCGCCCACCAGAGTATGAGAGTGACAGGAATAGAGAGTGCACTTGTGTCTGCGTGTACACTTGTGCACTATAACATCTCCTGCGTAGTTGGCTAATCTCACTGAGATTGGCCGCCGTGGCTGGAATCGGCTAGGAGAACATCATCATCATCATATTATTCTTGAGAACATAATTTGTAATTTAAAATTGATATGAAATGAATCTAGGTACAATAAGTACACAAAGATAGCTTAGAAACCATCAGCGACAGACGACAGTACAAATAATACGAAAGATTTGAAGCGAGAATTTTACCTATCTACACTTCCGTATAAGTACATATATACTACACACAAAAGACGAATTTAAATATACAACAATTCAATATGCCAAAAAATAGTTTGTTTTTCTTAACCTTTAATATAGACTCACCTTCATCCTTCAAAGCTTTAACGGCGTGAACAACTCCAGACCAAGGGCTCGGCAGATCTAAGAAAATGGCATTCGCTTTCCCATTGAGTTCGTCACCGAATCCATCTGCTAACACATCTCTGTGTCGAGCCTAGTTGAAAATATAATAAAAAACTTTTTTTAACAACATGTATAAAAATGTTTGTTTATCTGTTTGTTACATTTGCATTCCTAACACATTTATATGACATTTTTATGACATGTACTGCTTATAAAACTGACACGAATTTATTTATAATTTGAAGCGATCTTCATCAGTAAATTAATATTAAAACAACTTTTTTTTGGATTTCCTCACAGTTTTCTTAAATAAACCAATTAAAAAAAAATGAGAACCTAAAAGCAAACTAAAAGTGCAAAAAATCCAAAGAAAAAGTGATTTTAATGATCTTACTTTTATTCAACATTACTTTATTTTATACTAACTGTTACAAAATCAGCAAGTCCGTGGGCTTCAAACTCCTCTTGAGCGACTTTAGCCCTGTGGTCGTGAAAGTCGAATGTGTACACGTGACCGTGCGGACGGACTCGTCGGATAAGTGCGTGTGTTAACGAACCACTTCCAGTTCCTATTTTATGAAACGATTTTAATTGATATTACAAACGTAAAACCATCCATTATTTTGAATTATTTACATGACCCACATTTAAAAAATATAATTATGTATAAGAAATAATACTATGAAATATTCAATTAAGAAAATGAGTTATTCCTGTCTACACAAAATTAATAAATAAATTTAAATATCATATCTATACATAAATCTGAGTCGAATCTTTAAATCTTTTTTGGAAAATCTTAATAAAATAGACATTAAATGTTAAAATGTAAGCAAGGACGAACCCGAGCGGAGCAAGGGTGAGTCATTAGTCTATACTTCCATACTAATATTATAAGTGTGAAAGCGTGTTTGTTTGTTTGATTGTTTGTTTGTTTGTTTGTTTGTCTGTCCTTTTTTTCACGTCGAAATGGAGTGACGGATTGGCGTGATTTTTTGTGTGGAGATAGTTGGAGGGCTGGAGAGTGACATAGGCTACTTTTTATCGCGGGAGATTTTCTATTTCCCATGGGGAAACACGTAATAATAAAATCCAAAAATATATATATATGATCAAAATTACTTGCAACTTGGTATTAATGCTCTTCAATAAAATTAAATCAATAAGTGTTTTAGTATTTTTTGAAATACATCCTATAAGGGGGTAAAATAGGGGATGAAAGTTTGTATGAAACTACCTTTTTAGGGATATTTGTAGTCTTAGCGCGAGTGAAGCCGCAGGTTATGCTAGTAAAATATAAATAATAGTTCAAAAATATATAACAATAACAACATGTATTTGATGACCTTTAAAGGGGTTTATAACCTGATTATTGTAAGGTGTTTTACCAAAAAACATTTTTTAAATATTACATTTATCAGTTTGTATTATCAAAAATAGTATAATATATATGAAACAACGTACCAGCTTCAATAACAATGTTCCCTGGAACTAAATCCAGTTGTAATAGAATCATACTAATATCTGGAGTATAAATAATTTGAGTCCGATGAGGCAATGTCATCGACCATAGTTCAGGGGTAGGTTGAAGAACATGGCCCCAGCCTTTTGATAACTCTACCTAATAGTAAAATAAAAGGTTATTATGCAAATTCAAGTAATAAGCATTAAATAAATTGTAAAACTTATTTTAATTTAAAATAGACAATTTTTAGTTAATTTGAATGTTGGCAATTAATATTTTTAAGTAGTATTTCTAAAAATGAAAATGTTTAAGAGTTTAAAGGTTGGGCAAAGCAAAATAAATGAGATAATTTTGGAAAATGAAAATTTTAGCAATAATAACAATTTATCTCTAGTTTTTGCCTGTGGCCACACTTGCCTTTTTTTCTAGTTAGTACCCAAAAACTAAATATAATTTTTATATTATGTTAGTATTATTATGATACAGTATGCAGTTCTATAGATGAGAGCTTAAAATGTATCTTAATATATTGAATCAATAAAAAAAATACGAATATAAGGTAAGAAATGTTCTATTACACTAATACAATATATATGATTACCAATTTGTTTAAATCAGTGTAAGTAGAACTGTAAATTATTTTGTTTTCAAGATAAATTGTACATGAAATAAATGTAAACATAACCTTATTTTTCCATTTATAGTATACATGCCTTTTTATAACAAATTTTTAGCAAAATACGGTGTGTAAATATTATAATATTTAAAGATGACTTACTCTACTTCCATAATCAACCCCTATTAGATTTTTAACTTTTAATGCGCCAAATGTTGTTTGGTACACATTCTCAACCATTTCGCCCTTTTTATTTTTTATTTCCGGTCTTACATCAATAGCGTGGAGATTGTTACTTAAATATAAAATCACTGTATCTCCTTCATCAATTTTATCTTTATAATTTCTGAAACTCATTTTGAAAATAAAATGCACTAAGTTCAACAAGGCAATGTTTACAAAACGTGAGTTTGACATTGACATTGATATTTGATTCCGAATGAAATATAGCCTTTTAATTTGTATTTATAGTAATACTTAGCATAATATTTTATTATTACTATAAATAAATGAATCAACAAAATGCGCATTTTATTTATTTGATTTTCATTTTATAGGACATACATATTACCATAACTTATAAATGTTTATATAACCTGTGGTTGGTGAGAATGCGAGTAAAAATTAACATACAAATGTCAGACTAATAGTAAATGTGAAAATGTATAAACAGTACTTTTGTTATTAAATATCTTACTAAAATAATACTTCCTAAGAGGATTTCTATTTATTTTTTGTTAAGTGTGATAGTATAATTATGAACAGTTATCAATAGAACTCGTTTACTTCCTGGAAACGCAAATAAAATGGTGAAAATGGATGCGTCAAAAATTACAAGTAAAACTAGCTCTCTTAAAGCTTTGATTTTGAAGGCCTGGCGTGAGAGATGGACCGATATACAATGGGGGATTAATATCAAAACTATTCTTCCTAGAGGCGTGAGTGGCGACTTATATAACTTAGCTGATTGTATCCTTCAGCAGGCCATGGTAGGATGTGGAGCTAATCAATTAGTTATTTCATATCTCAAGCACTCACTAGCCTCACATTTAGTGTCTTATGCTGCAGTATTACAGAGGATAGCGAAATTTGATGCCTTTCATAAACCTCATTGCATTTTAAGTCTATTGGAGTTCTTAGAAAGCTTTCTCGACAATATAACATGTCGAAGCAAAATGGAAGAAGAAATACTAGCCTTTGCAGTGTCTTCAATTATTTTTTGGTTACTACAAGTATACCATTACTCATTGAGCAAATATCCATCCTCTAATCCAATACAGAGTCAAGAATTACTTGAAAAATCGACATTACTTTTAAATTCAATAGTCCATTCAGATTTTCTCATAGCTATGTTTTATTTAGCTAAGCAAAATGATCCTGATGAATATAACGAAGTAACAAAGAAATGTCAAGAGATCACTGCTTTTATGATGATGAACACACAATTTAAAGCTCCAGTTGCAATTCATGAAACCTTACAAAAGATCTGTAATATGGATATAGATAAAATAGCTCCATTGAACAATAAGCCTGAGGCTGTAAGTCATTGCTTACAAGCTTTGATAGCTGTTAATGTTTTGGCAAACCCTAGTTCAGATGTGCAGCAAATATCCAGTCAACTATTAATGATACAAAGAGTGAAGAGCTACCCATTATCAAGACTTTATTGTGAACTAATTAGAGCATGTTTCATTTCCTTAAATGATGCAAGTAAAGATGCTTCGAAACAGGCTTTGTGGGCTGCTTTTACATTCCTCAAATTACCACAAGTTATAAGTTACATTCATAATATCTGCGGTACTAACAATAAAGAGGGAGATTCTTCTGTGGAAGTAATTGAAGCATTTGAAAAACTTTTACAAGGGACTCCATTACTCGATGTCGTTGATGCCAAGAATTCCTGCAATAGTATTGTCTCTTTACTGGAACCTTTAGTAAAGTTGAATATTGTATCAGAAACTCAGTTGGCTTATTTTAGTCAGAAGAGAGAAACTAAAGATATAAAGTTACAAAAATTAGAACCAACTGGTCTCCAAGGTTCCGTTCCATCTTTTATAACTCGTGCAGAACCTACATTAGCAGGAATGCTCAAGACTATGGGAGGTGATTTTCATAAAACCCAAGAATCTTTGTATCCTATGCTCTGTCAAATTGTTGGTGGAACTACATTAGATACCATACTAGCGGTGGCAACTGTAGAAGGAAAATTGAAATTATTTGCATCAAGATTAATAAAATTTAATGAATTTGCACTAATGACAGCTAGTGAGAAGGGCGCTTCTCAGTCAAAAGTTTACATATTTGATATATCATTCTTAATACTATGCTCTATTGTCCAAGATTATGGTGCAGAAGCTGTACTTGATGAAAATGGAGACTCATTTTTTGAAATGTGGGTTAAAGAATGTATGGCACATAAAGGTGTTTATAGATCACCAGAACAAATTTTGCAAAAATGTGATTCACAGCTTGTAGATATTTTTATTCATCATCTTAGTGCTTCCGACTTTGATTTTAAGAATACTAATTTAAAGCCACATGATTTATGCACAAATGTTGGAGGGGCTATGAAAGAGATCTTATTTGCATGGGAACAAGGTTCTATTTCCTCTTCAGATGTTAAGCGAATGTTGGATTCCATGAGACAAAAAATGGCTTCCTTAGCAGTGTGTGCTTCAGTTTGGTTGTGTTCTTATATGAATGTTGTTCATCAAGATGCTTTCATTAAACCCTTAAATATGGTACAAATGTTTCTGTCGCCACCTAGTGAAGTTGAATTAACCCAAGTTGATAATTTCAAAGAAAGAGCTCTATTGATGTGCCAGATTATAAGAAAGATGCAATATGACATTCATCCTCCCGTATTACCGAAAACTAAAATTATACCTTTTTCTCATTGTATTGTGTCTCGGCAGCCAATTTTGGAACAATTACAAACAGTATGGGAAGATGTCAAAACTCGAGGTTATTTGCACATTGATGCCACTCATATTATAAAAAGCCTCTTAAATACTGCTGGTCCAGTCTGGTTCGTGACTAATTTAATTAAAGAAACTCTTAAATTTCGTTATCAACACGATTTAGATAGGTCTGTGGATATTGTATTGGCGATGTTCTACTTAGACATTGATAGGTGTACTGAAGCGCTTATATTGCACGCTTTACCTCAATATTTGTATAATGCTAAATTATGTGATGAATTAGTTGAACCTCAATCAGCTATTTTGGCCAAACTGTGCGTTTATGCTATTTACGCGGCTTTAGAGAGCAGTCTCATGAATCGATCTTCAGTTTCGAGAAAACGCCGACACGATGATTCAGAAGACTTAGACACAATGTGTTCCTCGAATAAAGTAAGAAGACTGAACGATAATACTTCTGATTCATTATACTACTCTCAAGGACAGAGCATTTCTGGACTCAGTATTAGGGAGCCCTTACAATCTGCTTTGGAGGTACTGTACAAGTCATTTTTGCAACTGGCAGGAAAGAATGGTGATGTTACACCACAGACTCAATTTATTTTTGAGTTTTTAGTGTATGCTGTCCAATGTGGACAAGAAAGGGCTCAAGTAGTTTTACAGAAAATGCCAAGTGAAATTGTGCCCACGTTAATAAAAGCTCTACCAGAAAACTTTAATATTGGACTTATTTTAAGACTTTATGATTTATCTACTCCTTATGGTAGAAAAGATACTGCGAGAGATCTTTGCTTGTTGAGGAATATGCGCCTTCGACCAGAATGAATCATATTTTACGAGTGTTCAATTCATTTAGCTAATAATAATGGCTGTAACTATTAAAGCACTAAATCATTTCTATTGTAATGCACATACGTTGTTTTTAACAATGACATTGATAGCATTTTTAAAATTTAAATTACTATAGAAATGTTTATTTGTAATGTAAGTAAACGTTTTTAATTATTTAAAAAAATTATAAAAATGCTGTTTTTAACAATAATTGTTTAATAAATAGGTAAGAAAATAAAACAGTTGTTTATAATATTTTCCTTTATTTTCAAAATCAATTTTAAACTCAAATTCGCCTTTATTTCGCCATTTACAATATTTAACATTACAATCTGTCTGTTTCACGATAGTTTTTAAATAATAAAGAAATTAAATAATGTTATATATGTACGTACGTATGTAATAATTTCATATAATGGTGGACGGAATCGATGTAAAGGTAAAACATGTAAAATCGCATAAAACATCGAAATTGTTACTAATAATATAACAATATTTTTTTTTTAAAATGTGTAGCAAAAATTTCGATGTCATAGCTATTTAATTAGTTAATAAACCGGCACTAGCAAAATGTCATATAATATACATAAATGTCTGTAAATGAGATTGTTTGATGTAATATTTATGACAACAAATGAACAATCTAATATATAAAATTCTCGTGTCACAGTTTTCGTTGCCATACTCCTCCGAAACGGCTTGACCGATTTTGATGAAATTTTTTGTGCTTATCCGGTATCTATGAGAATCGGCCAACATCTATTTTTCATCCCCCTAAATGTTAGGGGTAGTCCACCCCTAACTTTTTTTTTAGACAAAATTTTTAATTTCTATTTTTTTATGATACAACATACAAAAATACATACAATCCTCAATTTTCACTAGGGACGAACCCAAGCGGAGCGAGGGTGAGTCGCTAGTAATTAATAAGTAAACATACTCTTCACTTACATAAATTGTATTACAATTCATTGTAACATTCAAAATGTGAATGGACGGACGGACGGTATTTCAATAAAGTTTTTTTTATATACCTAGCATATTACATTCAGGCATATATATGTTGACTTCGTAAACGAGAGTATTTTTACCTTTTGTTATCAAACTACTGTTTGTCTTGCATTAACACAAATTAATTGATTTGTTTTAAAATATTAAGTTCTTTTCTGACATTTTTTGATTATATTGTGTAATTTTTAATGCCGGAAATTAACTTAGGTAAAATCTAATACTGATTATCAACTAACTAAATCAAGATAAGAGAAATTGCACAAGAAAAAGAGACAGATCCTGTCTTTTTAACTAATTTAATACTCTATTTATTTACATAAAATATACATTATATATATATATATATAATAATACATATTATTCTAATTCCTCACATTTAATGTGACCTTGTCTGTACACGCTATTTTACAAATTCTTATAAACACATCACAGGAGAGTTCCAGAACGCTTACCTCATGTGGGTAGTTATAAACTAAGAGTATAAGGTAACAATATATTATTCTATATTTATATTCTAAACATTATTCTAGTTATAATGCAGGTTTTTTTCCACCTGGTGAGTCCGGGTGTGGACGATCTGAAACAAATTTGGATAATTAAAATCATTAAGAAACGAATGAAAGAGTTGTTTCTTCCGATCGCTTCCGATCAAATCTATCTATACATAGGTAATGAAATAAAAACTTTTTAACAAAAAAATAAAAACCGACTTCAAACAAAAGCACTAAAAAGTAAAAAATAACTGATTGGTAGTTTTCATTTACTATACATACCTAATCAAATATTTTCGAAGTCGGTGTGCTTTGGCTAAGTAATTAAAGCCTACCTACTAAATACATACCTAATAAAATATTTTCGAAATCGGTGCCAACCCATACAAAGCAAAGCACACCGACTTCGAAAATATTTGATTAGGTATGTATAGTAAATGAAAACTACCAATCAGTTATTTTTTACTTTTTAGTGCTTTTGTTTGAAGTCGGATTTTATTTTTTTGTTAAAAAGTTTTTATTTTTCCCTTTTTAGTGTAGACAGTAGTAGCAAAGTAAGGATTCTAACGTGTTAGGCTTGTCAAATCAAACAAAATAAGCCCAAACTCAAAGTATCTACTATTAGCCGTTGAAGAGTTCCACCTATCCACCTTCTGGCCTTGCCATCAGATCAGGTCAACAACACCGAACCACTGTACTATCAACGGAAATAGAAATACTTGCAAAGTTTCAAGTCAATATGACAATTAATGTTGGGACATTAACACACAGCGCCATCTAGTACCATGGTAAGCTACGAGGCTTGTGTTATGGATACCAGATAGTTGATACACTACACATATATAGCTTTAAATACATACATATTATAAATATAAACACCCATGACTGGAGTACAAACATTCGTGCTCATCACACAAATGAATGCCCCCAGCGGGACTCGAACCCGCGACAGCTGGCACAGCAAGTAGGGTCACTACCAACTGAGCCAAACAATTAGAAGTAGGTTAAATTCATCATTAGTTGTTTTTCCACCCTTAGGGGTGGTATTTTTTTTTTTAAATTTAAATGGGACCAATCTGGAAGTATACCAAAATTTGAAACAAAACAAAAATTGTCCAAATCGGTTTAGAAATGACGGAGTTCTGAGGTAACAAACATAAAAAAAAAATACGTACAGTCGAATTGAGAACCTCCTCCTTTTGAAGTCGGTTGATAAAATTGTAACTAAGTCGAATCTGTACATTAAATATTTTTTAGAAAATCTTGTAATAAACATTATTATCGATACAGAGGCCGAATCTATAGTTTTTAGATTTTTGTCTGTCTGTCTGTCTGTTACCGCATTACAGAGAAACCAGAGGAGGGATTTTGATGAAATTTGGTATGGTGATAGCTGGTTATCCAGGTCAACATATATGATATTTTTTACCGCGGGAAAATGTCTCATTTCTGAGAAAAATTACAAAAACTGCAATGTAAGAGTATACTAATAATATGTAAAATCTAAGAATTTGGTTTTTGGTCATCTGAACGCGGGCGGAGCCGCGGGCAATGCTAGTACATAATATAATTAGGCATATCTATGTTGTACTTATATTTTTTTAATAAAATATTTTTATACTTAATGAAACAGTTTTAGAAAATTTTACATTTATTTAAGTTTTAAACATCTTAATTTAGTCATACTTACCCATTTGCCGTCTAAGATTTTCTTCTCTATTTGCATCCGGCGTCCTGACCCTGATTCTGTTACAATCGTCTGCATCATTTGCAAACGTCCTTTGATTTCTATTCCATTGGTAGGAACTTTCCGTTGTGACTGTACTACATCTATTTGTATGCGGAACATATTGTTCTGGGGACCAATCGAATACGAATGTATGATAATTTTGGGTGTACGCTGAAGGGGTTCCCGAGGGAGTTGGAGGAGTTGTGGTAACATAAGGAGTAAGATCTTGATGGCACACGTCAGGAACTTTCTGCAGTGCTGATTCAGACCATGTCGGACTTGGATTCCATTGGTCCATTTCCGTTTCCGTTATGTTATAGTTCTTAGAACCCGGTCTTCGATTGGTTATTGTTGCGGTGGCCACTAATGTGTCCCCGTTTGATGTTATGTGAGGAGATATGTTGGTAATAGGCGTTTTGTCTTCTGATTTTTTTCGTTTCGCATTTGGTTGCCGCGTATCATCAATTCGGAGGTTATGGTACCTGGAATAGAAATCTGATGTTAAACTTGGAGTATTTCATCATGACGTGAAGGATGTATAACCAATAGAATTTATTGATTATGCCTATATTATTGTTACAAAAATTATAGATTTAAAAAAAATCTTAGTAGATGTTTTCATTCAATTTGAATTAATGTTAGGTTCTATTAAAAATAAACTCTACATTAATAGATTATTTTTAACAGCTTCCTACCTGTTTTCCTGAAGGGACACCGAGTAGTCCACAGGTCCGTTGTCATGCCTCTCATAAGTGTAATGTATGGGAGTTAAATGCGGCGGAATATGTGGTATATGAGGTTGTACGCTGGAATTTGGCATCAACACTGGTTGATTTCCATTTATGCAGACTGGTGGTGTAGTGTATTGTATGTTTGGGGGATATACTTGTATATCCGGTGGAGGAGGCCCGTACATTCTGGTTGCAGCCTCATAAGCCAATCCGTAGTGTAATTTTGACTGCACTGCGTAGTAGTGATACAGCCAAGGATTTGCTTTCATCACTGCCGCTTCTTGTTCGCTGTTCATAAAAGAAATATATGAACGTATTATGATTTAATACAAAATTAAGTTATATTTATTATATACAATATTAAGTTATATTAAATTGAGTTATGAACAAACGAATAATTATTCTTTAATGTGTTTAACATGATTAAGGAGATTATTATATATGTAGACGTTTAAAAAAAAATGTTCTTCTACTTCCAGTTTCTTAAATTACGAGTAAAATAAAAAAGTTACATTTCATTTCACTTTAAAGCGTAATGAGAGAATGTACTTATAATGTAAACTCATGAAACATCAATATAATCGTTTAAACAGATCTTATTGCTGGAAAGAATCGCATATCACCCGATCTACGACTTTGTTACATGCTTTACCCATTAGTAGAAACGGGGAATGGGGACCACTAAAGTTTAATGTTTATATTAAGTAGTGCCGCTAGCTTTTGTGCCTTGTATGTGAAAATTATTTTACAATGAATAGGGCGTTGTAATACGATGTAGTGGACTACGACCAATTTAAATTATTCCCTTAGATAAGGGTAATCGTTGCGCTGTTTAAATTAACGCGGAGGTTCAACCGTAAACTTACCAATCTTTGTTTATAATTCTTTTAATAGAATGTATCTACCTAACTTTTCTTTTGCTCAACAATAGATTTCAAAATAGTGTTTTATGTCTAGAAACAATAATGTAATTGCCGCCACCGAAGTATTAAACTTGTTGTTCTAAGGTGACCTTTAACGTTAACTCAAGCTTTGAGGCAACCTTTTAGATAGTGGATGCGGGAAAATGTCACATAGTTGGACTGAGTCCTGGACTATAGATACATTCGCGAAGAAATGTTTCAGCAGTTTATATGTGATTAATGTCAGCAATTGCAAATTGAAAGTTATAATAATAACACCTCCACCAAATTTCTAAGAAATTAATTAAAATTCTAAGAAATCTATTGTTAACTGACACGCCGGCGTGTCCGCGGTCGTGGAGGGAATAAGACTGTTTCAGTTTATATAAAAGGTATAATGTTTTGTAAGGGAATTAAAATGTTATTTAGGTATGACTAAAGTACATAAATATAATTACATGTTTCCATCCCTATTTTAATGTATTAATCATTAAAGTTATATGAAAACAAAAAAACTTGTACGTAAAGGTACAAGTACTACTACTATTGTATATGTACCTACAAGTTTTTTTTATTTTTTTTTCATTATATCTAATGACTAGCATTGCCCGCGGCTCCGCCCGCGTTCAGATGACCAAAAACCAAATTCTTAAGTTTTACATATTAGTATACTCTTACATTGCAGTTTTTGTATTTTTTCTCAGAAATGAGATATTTTCCCGCGGTAAAAAGTATCCTATATGTTGACCCGGATAACCAGCTATCATCATACCAAAATTCATCAACATCCCTTCAGTGGTTTTTCCGTGATGCGGTAACAGACAGACAGACAAAAATTCTAAAAACTATATATTCGGCCTCTGTATCAATAATAATGTCTGTTTCAATGAGATTTTCCAAAAAATATTTAATGTACAGATTTGGCTTAGTTTCAATTTTATTATATGTATAGATAATAGGACTTTTGAATCCAATAGTATCTACTAACATGAAAGTTTAAATATGTTTTGGACGACGACAAATCGTTTACTATTCTAAGATAACTAAGAATCAAAGGGTAAGGTGGATAAGCGAACGCATACACACGTTCAGCATAATGAACTTAACCTTCTCGAATTATAAACAATCTAAAGTTTTTGTATGGCGTACAAAATTAGCTTATCATATAGATAGAGTATTATTATAACCATGTTGTCTGTATGTTGGTATTGCTTGGTATAATAATTTTCAATATAGATTGCGTGTGTTTAAGAAGAAATCTTACATAGCTCGTATAGCTAACGTACTATCGCATAGTAATAGTATAATTAAGGTCCATTCCCCCTATAACAAGTGGCAACCTTTGCCCTGTGCTACAAGCAGAATAGACTGCTTTATTTTTGCAAAAGCCGAGAGCTAGGAGTTTTTGCGCAGGCACAAAAAAGTAACAAAGTTGAAAAACACTGATTTCAGTATTTCCCAATTTAAAACAAAATACAATAAGCAGTTATTTTAAAATGCAAAATAATGCAGTTTGGATCTTCATTGAAAATTCTTATTTCTTTCGGCTAGAATAGTAATGTAATCTGGTCCTTGTTATGCATAACCGAGTTAATGGAATGTTGGGGACTCGTACTCGTTTCGTCCGCCAATTTGTGCGTCCGCATCGGTCGAACGCATAAATCTCATGAACATGACGTAGGCGGCCGACTTGTTGACAATTTGTTGTCGTTCACCGGACCGAGCTGCATGTGTGGAGCCTACAACGTCCCTATCGATTTATTAAGACGTTACAACGTATAAGGCGATCCGTAATAAAACTTCCTTTAAAGGTTATGCTGACATAATGAATAAGATGCAATGGAGACTTAAATAAATACAATTATGACTTGTTTGTAATGATTATAGTAGAATGTTCGTTCAATTATGTGATGATTTAAAATGACGGTAACTTTCCCGTGGTAAGTGTTGTACTGACAGTTAAATAAAGCTTAAGTTAGTATTTAAATATATGATAGTTAGTGTATTACTAAAGCTGGAGCATTTATCAGTAGAAAGCACGAAGCGACACGAGTAAGTTGCGCAAGAGCATGCGCAGAAACGTGACAAATGACGCAATCCCGCGAACAATGCAACTGAGCTTGTGAGAGTGGATATAGTGGATCAAGCTCAAAAAATTGGTGTAAGTTAAAGACGAGTCTAAATAGTCACTTAGGCCATATGCTCTTTTTTAGTAAATTGGTTATTTATATTTATTACCACGGTTCCAGTTACTATCAAAAGTACCTATAGAGTTGTACAATATCAATATAAGTATAATGATATTTATAGTTATAACAAAATCACCATATATCTGATATGTTTATTTAAATCAATATTTAACAAAACGTACGAGCCGTTAACTTGAGCCAAATATCAAAGTGCCTAAGGCTCGCACCCTCTATGTCGTTGATTGTTTAGGTCACTCTCGTCACCCACTCGCATTGATATTAATTTAGATTTACTATCTCGAGCGCCTACTGACGATTAATTTGAGGTCTTAGTCACTGCAACGCATAATGAGCTTGTACAGAATTATCTATTAAATTAATAGTTGCGGTAATAGCCTCAGGCTTGTTGTGATAAATTTAAATGCTCTCAGGGGTGTATTATGACGCTACTTTTCAATAAACATTGGTTTTAAGTGATACATTTTAAGGTTGTTTTAATATCTTAACTTTTATGAGATTCCGAATTTAGGAACAAAATAAATTAAAACATACATACATATATGTACATTAAATGACAGAATGTAAAATGCGTACATAATAATTGGAAAATATAAGATATAATCGGAACAAGCTTGTTATTAATAAACAAAGAATGTATATTGAATCTATAATAATGATGAATATTTGCTTTTATTTCGCAAGCCGAGGTAAACGCTTCGCCGTATACAAACAAGATAGATCTAACATTCCATAGAATCAGGTGTTTTAGTGCATTTTCGCGCTATAAAATATTATAGACAGTAAATTCCGTCATCGATCAAGCAAGGTTGGTGTTCGGTGCTTGTTAAACACCGTTTCTCACATCACAATGGCTGTGCGGGCATATTTCAAACCATCCCGATACGAGCATCGGATCGAGGTGCTTTGACTTCATAAATCACCCCTTACAATATTTATTCGTTGCAACTTTACTATGGGTTTACGATGGACGTTAAAGGTAGGCTTTACAGATTAATGTGTAATGAAAAACCTAAACGGAAATAGTATGTTTTTCGTAATATTTAAGCATTTAGAGCACATTATATTTGTAAATAATAAAATGTAGCTAAAGGGGCTTAGGTATAAAAAATATCTCTTTATATACAAAAAACATAAAACTTACAAACTCAAAATAAAAAAAATCACACAAATAAGATTTATATATATTTAAGATGCTCTATTTTAATATTAGAATCGTAACTCACAATTAGTTTATTTTAAAACATTTTCGTTCTTGCAATATAACCAATAGTACGGGTGTCTACTCGTCGTCTCGAGACGTCATCTAGTATTGATCTCTCAATAGGGAAGTCTGTAAGCGACCATTTTAAATTATGGCAGCTATTTTTCAAAAGCCTGCCCCTACAGAGAACTGTGAGCGAGTAATAGAGCCGCTTTAAAGCCAATTAGTACTGCACATACCACTCAAGGGTTTTTAAAAAGCATTAACACTAAATATATGCTGCCTTGTAAACTGTCCCACAAATCTTGCTATGTTGGAACTATATTTTAAAAATGGTGCGATTTATGTTTATTGAACATTAGTGTTTAAGACACAATAATCACGTTGTGTTTTAAGTCTGGTTTTAAGTTTATTTTAATGTGTAAAAATTTACTTTAATAAGTGGTTATATGTGATGTGTAGAAAGTGAACAAAAGGAAAACTCAATTAGGTCAATATTAAAGAAAGAGTGAACATTTTTATAATTAATGGGCATTTATGTAATATAATATAAGTAATACTCTGAACAAAAATAGCATGATAAAAATTACCTGTCTTAATAGCTAGGTAATTTTATACTAATTTAATAATTAGTATAGAAAATACATTTTTCTAAGCAGACGACATAAAATTACTCCGCGAGTGACAACTGGCGATGTTATATTTCTTAAATAATATGTGTATTGTAATTATTATACGTTTTAATTCATAAAATTTTCTTTATTAGTTATCTATACCTACTTGTACATAATGAGATCTGAACTTACGAGCATATTAAGTTACTCGCAGGAATTAAATGCGCTAGCAGTGTTGCAGTTCACAGAGCGATTCGTTTAGATTTCACGAAAATTCTTTATTTATAAAACTACCTATGTAAATGTAATATTTTTTATTGTGAGCTGTTAGCATATCCATATTCTATTCTAGTATATTCATGGAGAAATAGTAAAAATAATTTATTTTGTTAACCTATCAGGTTATCTTTAGCTTATGCTTTATGCGTTTAAATATCAAGATTACTACATGGTTAAACAAGTATTGCTCATCTCTAAATTACAGACATAAAATATTCACATAGTTGAACAAATAGCAATCTTTACAAATTATTTTCAATTATATGTTAAATTCATAATTACGGTCGTAATGCTACAGATTATGACTGTAATCAATATGGCATCTCATCAACATAAGTATTAAAATCTCGAAATTCAGCTTACATACATATAATATGTAGATACTTATGTACTTAAGATATTATAAGTAATGAATGGTTAAGTTTTAGAAATTATGAAATTTAAGTTTCTTTATATAAACTTAAACAGTTTTAATATAATTTTGTTTTCTAATAGTCTTATGAGTACAACATCAGGTAGAGTTGTTGTTTACGTTCTAGTAAACTTTAAACAATTAGTTATCTGATAATTTCGTCAATATATTTTAGGCTTTTAGTTAATCATTTTTTAATATTTTATTTGACGAGCTTTACACGCGTTGAAATCGAATAAAGTAAGAAAATGTCACATGGCTGGTCTTAACATGCTAACTTCACTAACTTTAATACTACATAAATAGAAAAAATAATATTTTAATCTTTTTAATAAATACGTTGACACAAATTTATTACTCGTAATTGTTGTTTATGAAATATAATATTATTATTATGTTAAACAATTTACTAAAATCTTATTTTACACTTTGCATTATTACAAAAAAACTTGTTCTGACAGACCATGTAATATTTCCACCGCAATGATATATTTTGATTGCGCATTAAACTTTAAAAGCCAGTTCTAAAAATTTATATTCTTGCTTGAATGCACGTGCGTTTACATTTACTGCGTCACGTAAAAGTATATTTTTACCATTGTTTAAATCATAAATACATTGCAATACAGATTTAACAATATTTATGAATATAAAAAACGATAAACATATGAAATTTAGGGAATTTTCAATCAATTGTCTACGCCTGTCGTCATGTCACATTATTGTCTGTATTCCTTATTGTTAATCGATTCTGCATTTTATAAGTTCCGTCCAATAAATCCAAAAAACCATTAACTTACAAACTGACAGGTAGTCAAACACACTGATATCTTTGTACACTATAGTAAGCCTAATTTTCACATCGCACTACGTATATTTAGGTATGTGGTTTAAATAATTGCGTAGAGCGGCAAAGATGAAGTGATTTTACCCTTGATCGCTAGATTGCTATGCTTTCGATTTATTAATGGTCAATAAGAGATTCCAAGGGAAAGGGCGATTATGTACGATGTTTTGAGTGCTTTCATGATTTAGCTCTTGTAATTTAGAGGCGAGTGAGATGTTACTTGCGAAATTGCCTTATGTTATTTAGTACATAATTTGTATTGGCGATCAATCAATTAGGGAGTATAATGGAACTGCGTATTAGTGTCAAATTATGTTTTATCGATGGCAAATCTATGCTAATTTACAATTGACTGTGTTTTAGTTTGAGTCGATACTTATGAAATATAGTTCTGAGTATGATTAAGTTAGATTTATTATATCGCATATAAGGACTAGTAGTTGTCTTGTTACATTTGTATGAGAGTTTCGCTGTACAAATGCACATTATGTTTTATAATAAATGATTATTTCGGTGTAGTAGCTGTGTTAGTATGATTACTGAATTGGTTCGCGGGTTTTATTTTTAATATATTGGTTATTGTATTTACTGTACTACATCTGTATGATATTTAAGGAAGATAAAATTTTCTCTTCGTGATATTCTCCCTGCCAAAGCAAAAGCTGTCTTCGTTTTAGCACTAGCGGAACTTGTCACAGGACATTGATCAGTGATCAGTTATGGTTGTAGCGATATCTTTTAGCAAACAATTGGTTTAGCGTGTAAAGTTTTACTATTTAAAAATTATACATATGTTATTCCATTGTTTCGCAATGGACGGACAAGCACTGCGTTATTTAGTGTATAATATGAAGGTACTAGTTCCTGATATACAGTTTTCTAGTTTAGGAGTTAGGGATGTATGCCTTTGTTACCATTGTGTTACTTGAATAAAGTCTGTTTTTTTATTATAATATAGTTAGTTCGTTACCTTAAGACTTGATTCGTACACACGATCACGGGTCGCTGTGAGTTCTCCAGATTGTCCTTTAACTGAAGTACTGCATGCACCCATAGGAACTGGCCACATCGTCTCTGCAGTCGGAGTAACGCAATACACGAACGCTCTTGTTCTGACTGTGTGACTTGTAAAATAAAATAAGAAAAGATTTAAATAATTCATTCATATAAATAATCAAGAAAAATAATGAATGTGAATTTTATACAACTTTCGTTATTTTAAAGTAATTGAATTATTTAGCTTATAAAATGATTATTTTTATTTAAACAGATTCATTTTTTTTTCTTGCAAGACGTAGAGTGATAGGAGAAGGTAACGAAAGCTAAACCCTAACTCCTTTGAACTTTTGCACTTTACATCTAAAATATCTTTATTGCTGTACAATATTATGTCTTCTATTAGTTTGACTTAAACATTGACAGAATTGTAGAACAAAGCTTTTAATGTAAGAAAAATAATAAATAATTATTAAAGATACAAACATCTGTACGTCTACGACAATATAAACAATTTTTTCGTAACATCTTTACTTTTTATACCATCCACTAATAAAAAGGTAGGTAAAGGTTAAATAATGCCACAAAAACTATCACAAAGGATACATAACAGACATTAATCAAAGATATTAACACTCAATCGAAACTAAATTGTTATAATTGAATGTAACTATTATGAAGTCATTGTTAATAAACGGATTATCTGCGATACTTCCTAACCAGATAGCCACCGTAAAAAAGGCCCTACCTATGATCTATAATAAGGTAATTTCAACTCTAACATAACGTAATATGGTTAAGATTTATACCATGCTTTTAGCTTTACAGGATTTCCTTTATGCTGTAGCTGGGTAAAAATCAGCACTGTGCTTTGTAATATAAAAACTTGGACAACAAATGTTGTCTAAGTTGGATTGAAACAAGTATTACCTAAGTATATTCACACAAGAATCGAACTGGCGATCTTGTAGTTACATACAGTGAGGCCAATAGCACCATAATATTATAATACGACAAAGAAAAGGTTTTATTATTATATACATCATACATATATGGTATGCGATCTATGTACATAAAAGGCCTCACTGTTGATTGGCTAAAGATAAAAAGTCAAGTTTGATATATCGCGCAACGTATAGTTTCCCTATAATTTAAAGGGTATGCTAATTTTGTTGTGTAATTAAATCACGCGATGCTTATTAGTATTAAAATATGAAAATTTTATGATCTGTTTACGTCTTAAATCATTTAGCGTAAGTCAACGTAATTGATTCAAATATTTGCAGGTTCATGCTAAAAGTGAATATATTGTAGGTTTATATATATATATATATATATATATATATATATATATATATATATATTATACTTGTTGTTACTATTTCATTTCTTGTTCGATTTAATTATATTTCTTTTTTGATTTATAAACTGGCTCCAATCGCTCGTAAATAGCTGTTAAGATTCTTAAATACATAAATTAATTAATTAAACAAGAGTGTGGAGCTTTCAAAATTTGTTCGTGGTCGATGTTTAGACCGCATGATCCTAGCTGTAATAAATATGGACTGTACAGTAGACATACAATGTTTCTCTAATCACTATATTTCTATTAGGTCTCCATATGGAGTTTTACAAACTTGTGTTGCCTTCTGTATAACCTGAGGTCGCAATTAAATATGCATTCTATTAGCACTACAGGACATCCGTGTGGGTCTTATTGAACCTTCGTTTATCTATTAATTGTAAATCAATAGTATTCCTATAATAATTTAAAATTTATATGGCTAACGCTGGCTAATAACTATTTATATCTATTTAAAACGTACCTGCGACGAACACGAGCGAAGCGAGGGTGAGCCGCTAGTATTTAATAGATATAAGTAGGCAATATATAATTAAAAAAATAAATAAATAACAAACGATTTTACCTTAACTGAGTTAACTCTAAACATATTTCAGTCAACTTTAAATTCATAAATGTGTTATGAAAAGTTCTCATAGCAAAATATTCGTAGGCGTGAACGGATTTATACCTGCTATAATTCCAATATTATCTTATGCTAATAATTACTGGAATTCCCACGAAACATGCCAATATCTGATTGCAGCGCTCAATAAATCCGCTGTGACAGTTTATAGTCAAAGAATGGCATTAAAAGCTAATATCGCTTCAGATAATCTATACGTAGCACTAAGTATGGACCTGGAAAGGTGACGGCTGTATTGTTTACTGGAGCTTAGGAAGTCTACAATAAAATTTAGCAAATTATAGCACCGCGACAATAATAATCAAAAAAATATTTTGGGGATTTGAAAAAGTTAGTAAAGTAAAAATATAAACTTTTACTCTTAGTTACCTTAGTTACATAGTAGTTTACAAGAATGTTTTATTACGGAAGCAGCTTAACTAAAATGTGGATATACAGATTTGCCTCTTTTTCAGGTCAATTTCGAACTCTTACCTACAAGCAAACGTCAGATTATGATGTGATTTATGGAATATATAAGGCTGCAATATATTGTTGTCATAATGTAAAATGTACTTTTATTATTTCCATTTAGCAGAAATCACAGGAAAAATATCAGTAGGTATGTTATATATTATTGAGATTATTAGTTTGTCTTTTCACACATCAACGGATCGGTGCTTTTACGTATTGAGATATTTGACTTAAAAATGATATAGGTTATAGATCTCGGCAAGTCATTTTTTATTTTGTGGGACTCGTGAGATTTAGTTAAAGTGTAAGCTCAGGGAGAACAGGTTGCTTGTAACCTATTTTTATTTAGCATCACACTAAATATAACCCTATAATACTTAATGTAAGTCGTATCAGAATCGTATACGTATAGTAAGCCCTTAATGATTTTCGTAAGTTGCTCAAACTTTAGTGTATAAACTCAAATTGCCATTCAAGGCATGAAATATGGAGCTCGCGTCGATTATAATGAGCTAAGTGATTGGAGTAATCTTTTCGAGGGTCTTATTTGGAAACTTTAGCATTATGACATGATTTTATTGAGACTTATTATGAATTTAAATCAATTTACTTATGACTGTAAATTGTTTATCTGAAGTAGTGATAAATTATTAACGGTTTTTTTATATATTATGTAAAAAATGATAGATAAACTAACACTTAGAGGTAAATAACATTAATAAAATTTGTGTATATTTACAACTAGCATAAGTTTATTCTATGATCGATTAATTATAATAAAATTTATGTTAAGAGAGACAATCAAATACAAAAGCGAAAAGTCAAGAATCAGAACAAACAAAAAGACGTTTAAAGTTCACCTTAAGGTCACTGCGCACAGGCTGGTCCTTGTCGACGCGATTATCGAATTATTCGAATGATGACTCGACTCGCATAGATGAATGCATGGCCGAATGGGCATATTTTGTATACAACCAACATAACTTTGTATACACTTTGATAAAAATCATTAGAAAATCAACTTTGTGACATTGACTTAAGTGAGCTGTGATACATTTGACAGTAACATAGTTTGTGAAGAGTAATAAGGGTTAATGCCGGGCGGTTATTTGTGCAATCTAGAATGTTGGTTTTAGAGTCGAGAAGAGATTGACGATTGCTATGATTGTGGTCGGGTCGGGTAACTGGTGTGCTTACCTCGACTTGTTTTATCTGTGTGTATTCCTAAGTGGGTTTGATTTGCGACTCCTATTTTCTAAACTCTACCTACGCAAATAATAGTTAGTAAATAAATCAGAAATAAATCGCTATAATGAATATTTATCGATAAAACATTTACATTTTTCACCTGAAATAAGCTATTTGTCTCCCTGTCAATCTTATCAAGATTAAAATAATTGTTGACATATTATGTCATTGCTTTATATGATTGTCGTTAAACTTAAAATTGTCTGCTTACATAACATTTCCTTGTTAAACTTTATTTCACAGAAAACGTCTTCACACCTTTGTCATGTTAGAAAGTGTTCCAATTTAAAAGTCACGATTTAAGACATTAGGACTAAGAGTAGTTATTTTCTTAAACAATAGAGTGCAAAATTGTCAACATTTATAGGATTATGTTAAAATTGGTGGTTTTGTTTGATTTAATCGCTCACGTACGGACAAACGTACACGAGAGACACGCGTGATAATGTGTCAACTTTCTCTCGATCGTGAAGGGTTAAATTCGTGGTTTCTATTTTTTAGGTTATCTGTTGTGACATGTGTCAAATACATTTCATTAAGGCTTGACACTATAAGCGAGTAGGCTATTTTAAAGAGCGAATAGGCGCGTATTATGAGCTGAAACTTATATCTTTATATACATGTACATATATAATAAATAGTATCTAAAAAAACTTTAAACTTTAAGTTCTGAAAACGACGATAATCAACACAGCTGTTTTCTTAATATTGTCTAAAATTATCTCAATTCAATTAGAATTGAGACTCATCGCAAAAATCATTTTAATACAGGAATCTGAGATTATTGCCTCCGTATTTGAAATCGGCCTGTCAAAAATCACATTCGACATTGATTTGTCATTTAATATAGTCCAAGTTATAAATTATTCATTTTGATATAATCATAGGTCATTTGGGGGAGTGAGGTAACGTTATTAATCAGAAATATTCGGTAAATACTAACATAAATCTATTAGGGTATGCATTTTGCCTCAGGCGCAGATTGACAGGTGTCTAGACTTCAACAGTTGCATGCCACGTACTTGTCGATAAGTTATGAGATTGTAACTGATGATTTTCGTATTTACTTTATAAATTTTTAATAAAATAGAAATATTAATAATTTTATATTTCTCCTGTTATAACACTTTACTTGTATAACAAATAATTCTAAATTTTATTCCTTAAAATAAAATAATATCTGATGAGTTTAATTACTTATAGGTACGCAACTAGCGACTCACCCTCGCTTCGCTTTTTCGGGTTTGTCCTTCTTCGGGTTCGTTCTTCGTAGATAAAAACGAATGTAGCCCACGGGAATGTTACATTTTCCCGGGATGGCATATAACCTATATAGCCTTCGGACCAGTAGTTTTTGAGATTAGGGCGTTCAAACAAACAAACTCTACCTCTTTATAATATTATATTAGTACCTATAGATTTTGTCTGTTGACAAACGCAACATATGTATACTATACATACTTTATTTTTTTATTTATCTGACATCGCATAAGTGCTAAGTGTTCATCTTCACGAATGCTTTTGAAACTTTTTACAATTTTACGCATAAAAGAAAATATCTTAAAAATAGTAGTAAAAATAACTGTTAAGCAACTTAGTAAATAACTTAGTAAATCGACGTAAAGTTTAGTTTTTTTTAACTTTCCTCGGAAATGGCTAAACATTTCAATTTCATTTTTTTTTTAATTTATTACATGTTTTTCGAAGATTGCATTACCTTAGTTTCATCAAAATCAAAAGATCAAAAAAAAAAAACAAGAAAAAGTTAAAAACCGAGTTTTCTAGAAAACTGAAGTTATTGTAAAAAGTGTTATTTATAAAAGTTATAGATTTTTACTATCTATAATTTTTGTAGAAAACATTTTTCGATAGAACGTCACAGTAAGCTGGAAATTAAAAAAAACTATTTGTCAACGATTTGCGTCCCCCCATTTCTCAGGGGTAGCTAAGAATCGGGGGTGTTTTACGAATTTCTATTCCTTATATACTTGCTAAGATTTTAAAATCATAAAACTTGAGGTTTTCAATATTTTGCTCCCAAACCGGATTCCGATTGGACTAAAACACAAAATTTGAGTTTCCGTCAGGAGGATATCAATATACGGAAAAGACAGTAGTAATATGATGACGAGCACAACTGATTGAAAGTTCTCAAATAATATTTAATTAACGCTGTTATATACTAAAATTAATATTGAATAGAAATATTCTTACATATAAAAAAAAATTAAAAAAAGAACCAACTACGATAAAATTTCATATCATCTCTCATCTCTTTCTTTCAAATCGAACAGAGAGAGATACTATACTGGTACATTCATAAATTTTTATAACAATTTGGTTATTGTTTCCAAGTACAGCAGAACAAATCTATTAAGAGTTCAAAAATTATTATATTAACCGTTATTTGTAATGCGATCGAGTAGATTCCAACGGCCGGAACATTACAAAGCTTAGTTTACTGGCCGCATTTAGAAATGTTAAAATGGTTATAAAATAACGTGGGAAGGTAGATTTAGTGTATTCTATATTGATTCTGCTAAAGTACCTATATAACCTATTGAACTGATTTTTATTATGTACTTTTGTAGTAAATATGTATAATGTATGTATATATCTTTTTTTAACTGCCTCGGTGGTGTAGTGGCTAGCATGTACGGCTGCACACCCGGAGGTCCTGGGTTCGAGTCCCGAATCGGGCCAAGTTTAGTTATTGAGTCTTTCTATATAAGTAAGCCTCAGTAACAGCCCGGAGTTGGGAAGTTGGCGGTGTTTCACTCCCGTGCCTCGGAGAGTCTTGCGCCTTAACTCTCACTAGTCGTGTCGAGTGGTCGTCCCACCAGAGTATGAGAGTGACAGGAATAGAGAGTGCCCTTGTGTCTGCGCGTACACTTGTGCACTATAATATCTCCTGCAGAGTTGGCTAGTCTCAATGAGATTCGCCGCCGGAATCGGCTAGGAGAACATCATCACATCATATCTTTTTATATTCGATAGATTGAAGGAATTAATATTAATATACTTATCCATTGGTGGGCTAGTCAAAAAAGTTACAAACATCACATTTATAACGTACCTATGTATAAGGATAATAAATAGGCCTAGTTTTATTTCATTGAAAGATCTTGGTGAAGCTTTTAAAACAAAAACAAATATATTAAAATTACATATTGGTTCAGATTGGTTATAATTATACGATAACATGTTCAAATTGTTAAAAAAGCACAAAATAATACGTAAGCTATATTATAGAGTAAACGTTTCTATTTTTATTCCATTACCTAGCACTAACAGATCCGTATTTAGGTAACCTTCAATAGAGAAATAGTTTTGCTCAACTTTAATGTTTCTAGGTATCCAATAAACGATTGACATCTTACATTCACCATTTTTTTTTCCGAGACCCATTATAGGTCGAGGCCACTCGTAAAAGTCACTACGAGCTTTAACAAAGTCCTTGATTCGTTATTTGGAATCCCATTTTCTTTTTGTGCAATTTTAGTTCCGTGCCTACAGACTATTTGATAGTTAAAAGTTAAAGGCTAACAGTATTTAGTCACGGATGCTTTACCTATGTTTAAATGAATACATTATATAGGATTTATTACCTACTTGTATTAAGATTTGAAGAACGTTTTTAATTTTTTAATCAAGCAAAAATTAATTCAATTTTCTAGTAAATTGCTTAAAAGCGTGCCAGTTGAACACAGATTCAAGAACATTTTTAATAATATATTTATTAATAATTATATAAAAAAATATATATTATAATATCAAAGTCAAGCAAAAACCATAATTATCGTTTAATCGTAACTACCTGTTTAAATTGACAACTATGGTCAAATGCTAAAATTAATATCCATATACATACATGCTAATATATATTTTTTAATTATCCAAAAAAAAATACGTTAAATCAATAAAAATAAACATTACACACACTACCATGTATTTGACACACACACGCATATATACTCTTTTGTTCATTGTTAAAGTCTGTGGTCAAATTGAGAATTATATATTAATATGTGAAGCAAAAACTTTGTATCCCTTTTTAACAAAAATCAATAATAATCATGGTCGAAGTTCGACCACTCAGCGAACTCTAGTAAATATTTATAATGCGAACGTTTTGAGTGCACGAGTACTAGTATAGTATTGTGTAATCTAGTATTGTGTATTGAGCATGTTACTTGCCTTTTCTCTCTGTAACGGAACGCATAACGGAACGGATTTGGGTGAAATTCGGATTGGCCAAAGCTTATGTCTTAGGACTTGGACTAATATAGCTTTTTCATCGACGATTATGGTTCTAGAATCATAAGATTTGCACAAAGCTTCCTATATAATGAATGTGAGCATACTTGTACAAAACTTATTTTCGAAAAAAAAAATGTTTACTAAGTACCTATTCAGAATAATTTCCATTATTTTAGTTTGGATCAGATTCTAAGAAATTAATTAAATTTCTAAGAAATCCAAACCAAAACCACCGCGCCGGCGTGTCCGCGGTCGTTGAGGGATTATAAAAAGTTCATCATCGCTACACATACATTAAAGTCGTACTAGATCGAGCTAATTGTAGCATCTACTGTACGGATTTAAATACGGTTTTTCCAAATAAAAATTGGAATTATCTAGGAAGGTTACAGGCTATAATTTATTGACATTTTACAAAAATAAACTACCTGCATGATGAATTAATTCGAAAGACACAATCCATCTGAGATTTTTTGCAATATTATAATTACAATTATGTGAACGGCAACTAGGGATGCATTTAAACGAAGCATGGTTGAGTCATTAGTTAATCAAATAAAAGATGTTCCACTAATATTTAATATACGCAGAATACTCAAGTAAGGTCTTTATCGATTTATAAATACATTATAGCTTTAGCTAAAAATTAAAAAAATATATAAAATCTTAAAAAAGATCCGGGACAAATATCCGTGTCATTTATTACACACTATAGGTACATAAAACGCGTACTTAGACCGCAATAATAGTATACGAAATTGCATATAATGAAGCAGGTTGAAGTTATTGTTTAAATTGTATGTGATTTTAGCTTCAATTTTTCCTTATATGAAGGTCAATAAGAAACTAACCTCATATGATCGCAATGAGGTAATAAGTACCTCTAGATATGTTTTTTTCTGCGAAATCTTGTGAACTAAGCATGTTATATTTGAACAAGAAAGCTTTTATTGCACTTTGAAATTTGAGAAATATATCATGTCGTTGTCATTATAGAAATAAATAATATACTCGTAGCTTTTAATTTTTTATGAACTTAGTACAAATTGTCAAATTGTAAGCCAATTTACTTTTTAGGCTCATTACGTTTTATCAGTTAGCTACGCAAAAACTAGTGGTAAATAAATCAAATATTACATAAACTTACAAAGCACATTAATCTTTATATAATTCTGTTGTTATTTTTGGGCAGCTTTATTCTTTATAATAGTATTAGTGACTCACTCTCGCTTCGCTCGGTTGCGCTCGGGTATGTCCCTAGTTTAACTCTCCTTACAAACTTTCATCCCCATTTTCACCCCCTTAAGGGATGATTTCCGGGATTAAAATTATGTCCTTCCCGAAGTCTCAATTTCATCTAAATCGGTTCAGTAATTCCAGAGATTCCTTCCTACAAACAAACTCACAAACTTACAAACTTTACCTTACTTTATAATTTTAGTATAAGATAGAAATTAACGCTATGAAATAATATTTAATTATACTGTAAGCTAATTTTAACAAAAATATTTGATAAATCATAAATGATGTACGACTGCTTGATTTTTGAAGCCACATAACACACTATCATCAAATCGAAATATTTAAAAAATATTCTCTATTCTTATACAACAATTCGTACAGTACTCTAAAATAACAATGCTAAAACTTTTAAATGTTACTTACTTAATCTGTGCTTATTTTGTGCCTCTTTACAGCAGTCCGGGTGGAGAAGATGGTACCAGCTGACGCCATGTAGAGAACTTCTTTCCCAGCCCAAATGCCACTCGCTACTGGATAAACAGATACACATCTATGAATTTTCTTAAAAAATTATATAATAAATAATTAAAAAAAACTTCAAAATAATACTATTTATGATAGATCGATTGTGAAAGTCATATTTTATAATATTGATTATATTATTTTAATGTATTGTTTCAAAGTTATTTTTGTACTGCTTTCCCGGTAGGTTTCCTCGTTATGACGACTAGAATACTTTATTCATCAATCCTGATCCGGATATTAGCGAGTACAAATATATAGATCGAATATCTTAATGGTTACATACAGGTTCAATATTCGGTACCTACTTTTAAATCGATCAAAGTATGGTGTTTTTGCTCATCTTTAAACATAAATAAAAAATGTTAGGTATTAACATATTTCTCGTTAGTTTATTTTTTCTAAGCAAAGCTTAAAGCTCATACTGATCAAATACAAATATAATAAACTATAGAGTAGCTAATTTAAAAATAATTATAGTTTTACAAAAATACCATGTGCACCATAATTAAGTGTTTTAAATGTTAGAAACTCAGCAAGTCGGAACCAGCGGTATTGACAAGGTCTCGATGATTGATGGATCTGATGACCCCACTAGATATTTGTTTTGCGGTGTCAAGTTCACTTTAATTACATTTATCATTATTTTTAATCAACTCTTTGGACTCATGAGCTGGAATAATGAAGTTTGGTTCTTGATTTGTTTTATTATCGGAACATATTCATAGATTGTCTGTATGTTGTTATATAAAGACATGGTTAGCTTATAATTTTCTATGTTTATGCGATATATTCGCAAATTCTGAATAGATTTTCACAATCGTCCTTTTCATAATTAGTTTTGGTCTCAATAACTTACAAAAACCACCCCTAAGGGTAATGTAAACCTAAAGGTGGTTTTTTGAAAGGTGTATTTTAAGTAACATTGAAGTTAAGGTGATATCAGACGGTATATCGAATGGATTTTCACTTCAGTGAATGAGATTTTTCATTCCATGTTCACACTGCTGAACTGGAATGACTTAACGAAGAACTAACATTCACCTGTTCTTTTCTTTTGCCATTGTCGAATGAAATCGCGCGTCTTGGAATTAGTTTAATTTGTAAGCATTTAATCAAGGAGTTGACCAAAAAGAAGCAAAGAAAACTTCGACGGTGGTGGGTGCGGTCATGGATTGCAAGAAGAAATTTATTGGGAACTTTAAATACATTATCGAGAGAACTAGCCGATAAATACCCTAAATCATATTACAATCATCTGCGTAAAATGGCGGATGAAAGTTTGTATGAAACCTACATTATAGAGTTTTTTTTGTAGCTTTAGCGCGAACGAAGCCGCGGGTTCTGCTAGTAATGTATAATTATAACAGAACTCTTTTAAGTTTTTTTTTCATAACGTGTTTTATCCTTATTTTTTTTATAATATTGTAACTGCGAGTTGGTTAATAAGCTTAAAATGCTAAGCCAATTTTAGTGCCATTAACATTGATTTTGTTGTATCAGAAAAAACTTCTCTTATCACATGAAAGTCGTGGGTAATAACAAGTTTCAATAAGCAAAGTCCTTTATTTGTTAGGTGATGTTGTATTGATCTCTACACCCAGGGGCACCTGTATTGCACTGGTACGTATTAACATTACCTCGTGCATTGTTAGATTCCAGACATTCTTTAAACCTAGGATTTGTATATCTAACCTGTATTCACATGTAAATGGCTGTATGTGACATTCTATAGACGATTAAATTGGTTTCTATAATTTAAGTACTGTTATCTAAAATATATCTTAGATATATATGGGATATACAATGTCCTCCTCCCGACTGATTTCGGCCACGGCGGTCAATCTCATTGAGACTAGCCATCTGCGCAGGAGATATCATAGTGCACAAGTATGCGTGCAAACACAACTGTACTCTCTATTCCATTCTCATACTCTGTCACTCTCATACTCCGGTGGGACGACTACTCGACACGACCAGTGAGACTTAAGGTGCAGGACGGACGGCTTAACGTGCTCTCCGAGGCACGGGGTGAAACATCGCCAATGAAATATTCCCATCTCCGGGCTGTTATTGTGACCTCCTTAACAGAAAGAATCAATAACTAAACTTGGCCCGACACTGGACTCGAACCTAGGACTTCTGAATGTGCAGTCGTACATGTTAGCCACTAAACCACCGAGGCAAAGTAAAGTTATGGGATATATTGTCATGTATCTTAAAGTAAACAAATATTTGTATATAAGCCCGTCTTGAAGAGAAAATGAATTAAACGGTCGTAACCACGATTCAGGGGGTTTAGCCGTGATACTATTCTGTAATCGTTAAGGAAAATTTAAATTAAGAAAACTTGTATTGAAATGACGAATGTCATCACTATGCCATATAATCGTAAGAAGTAATTCCCATATATTCATTTGGCTTCTATTTTTCAACGATTGTAGAATAATATTTTGACATCACGTTTGGCTCAGTTTGTTCTTTGTAGTGACCCTACTTGTTATGCCAGCGGTCGCGGACTCAAGTCCCGCTGGGGGCATTCATTTATGTGATGAACACGAATGTTTGTACTCCAGTCGTAGGTGTTTATATTTATAATATGTATGTATTTAAAGTTATATATGTGTAGTGTATCAACTATCTGGTATCCATAACACAAGCTTGTAGCTTACGATGGATCAAGATGGTGTCGTGTGTTATGTCCGAACACACACATATATATATACTTATTTATCTTGCCTAAGTCCTTTACTTACCATCACGGTCGCTCGTATGCATAATGCAGCCAAGATCACTAACGGCTTGACCATTTTTTTTATTTAGAATGTATGCAAATAAAATAATATTTAATAATATTTTTATATTATTATAATACTAAGATTACCATTAAAGTTATTCGTTCTTACAACAAATGCAAACAAAAGAATAAAATATTTTTTTTTTCCTTGGCCTTTTTGAAACAATACTTAAAGACGACTGAGATGAAAGCAAATATAATAGTTTAGAATTATTAATCTACATGAATATTGCATATCACCTTTAACACTAAGATGTAGAGTCGAATTTCGTATGGCTATTTATCTAAAAAAAAATACATGAGTTAATAGTACCTATTAGGTAGCTTATTGTCATCGAACAGGATTTGTACAATTGGTATTTATGCTTAAATAAACATTATTTCGTACATACCTTCTTGAAAACTTAAGAGCTATTAAGTTTTCTAAGTTATTTTTTTTATTACCAACTTTATAATCATAGTAATTAGGAAACAGAAAATTCGACTGGTATGCACATAAAAAATTGGCACTGATTATTACTAAGTAACTTAATATAATTTCTTCTTGATTAAGCCATTATTATTTTTTTACTTAGTAAGTTTTAACTATAACTTAGGTACCGGAGTTATGCAGTATTTTTTTTAAACAAATTAACTATTATTCAGATAATACTTTATAAGATTTACGCGAATAAAAAATCCGAAAAATTAGTTTTTTTTGAAACATTATTCAGGTCCAAGTGAAGCAATTTGACTTTTTAACCGACTTCCAAAAGGGAGGGGGTCTATGTTCGTCTGTATGTATTTTTTTATTTGTCTTAATTATTATTATAGATTAGCAGTAGATTATAAACAATATTTAAATTGTTGTTGTTTGTTGGTTATTGATACTGTATTGGACTAAAACTGTAAAAGCGTAAGTTTCTATACATTTTTTTCTTCTTCACATTTAAACGACTGAATAAATTTAGATGAAAATTACTCAGATAGACTATGACCTGGAGCAAGACATGCTACATGTATACATTAATCTAAATTCGCTTAGGTATGTACAAAGGTCCCTATGTGTTCTGTAGACTAGGAAATATAAAAATAAAATTAATAAATATCGTTAAAATATTTATTAATTTAATTTTATTTTTTATAATAAAAAAATTAAGGGGGACCGGAAATGTTTTTTATAATCCGGGATGGCTCTACAGAAAAAAGGTTGCAAAACCGTGCTCTAGACGCTCGAATGTGTCCTTTAAAACCAGTACTTGGGCACCCGAGCGAAGTAACGGCAAGGCGTACTATTGGAAGTCTCACAATATAAATTTATTATCTAAAAATATCGAATATTTATTATTAGTTCTGTATAGACAATTTAGATGGATTTATGTTCATCAACTACCGATTGCCTTATAAAGGGCAATGCTACATTTGAATTAATTTCTCAATTCTTAAGGGCATGAACCTTTTATAATATTATATTGGTATAATTGGACTTGAATTCCATTTAAACATATAATAGGTTCTAATATATGTACTTATAACATTTAGTCTATAAACAAGTTTTTTATTTAGTTGTTTTTACTTTGTTTATCTTTCCTTCAAATATATATTTTTTAATATTACAAATGTGAAAATGTGTTTTTTTGTTTGTCCTTCTTTCACGTCGAAACAGAATGATGGATTAGCGTAATTTTTTGTGTGGAGATAGTTTTAGGGTTGGAGAGTGACATAGGCTACTTTCTATAGCGGGAGATTATCCCAATCCCACGGGGAAACACGTTATATTACAACCAACAACATATTACTTACATTAACCAACACTTTTATTTCATACTAACGAAAAACGAGACTGAGTCGATAGTAAATAATATATTAGCATTAACGAACAACTGATGTGATCGACAAAAAAACAACATGGCCGTAACTTTAAGTTAGATACATTGATTGCTAGGTTCAAAAAAATAAAATTTACTTTAAATAATCTATACATATAATAAAAAGCCGAATCTGTACATTAAATATTTTTTGGAAAATCTTATTGAAATAAACATTATTAACGATACAGAGGCCGAATCTATAGTTTTTAGGATTTTGATGAAATTTGGTATGGTGATAGCTGGTTATCCGGGTCAACATAATATAGGATACTTTTTACCGCGGGAAAATGTCTCATTTCTGAGATAAAATACAAAAACTGCAATGTAAGAGTATACTACTATGTAAAACCAAAGAATTTAGTTTTAGTCATCTGAACGCGGGCGCAGCCGCGGGCAATGCTAGTATAACATAATAATTATTAAAATATATTCATGTATGGATAAAACTGCAAATGCCAAAGAAGACATTCTCAAAACAAATGTACGTAAGTGAATTCATAAGCGTTTGCTTGTTTATTAAGAACTAATTACCATTCACATAAATCTGTAGCTGGTTAGAAAATACTACATTGGCGCCCGTGCCCATTGAAAGTCGCATAATAGTTAGTACAAGACAGAACAATGATGTTTATGACGAAGCCTACTTAGAGCATTAAAATATTAGAAGTGGTTTACAACATGCTTATTGTATTATTTTTTAATGTCACATGTGTGTGGTTGTTAGAAAAATGTAGAAAAATATAAATATTTATTCTAATTTTCAATACAACGTACAAAAATCTATAAAGTTTTTGTGCGATTTTTGGAAGTAGCTATATATGTATATCTTTATATATATAATTCTTCTGTGAGTGTGTATGTCACTGAACTTCTCTCAAACGACTGGACCGATTTTGATGAAATTTTTTGTGTGTGTTCAAGGGGATCTGGGAATGGTTTAGATTCACAATTTGAATAATAATTTTCATCAAAAAAATTATTAAAAAAGTTTGAAATTTTCAAATTAAAGACGTGTAGACAGGACAACGTCTGTCGGGTCCGCTAGTATATCAATATAATAGGTAATTAACCGGTAGGAAACACTTTCCCTGATTTTTTAAAGATTATAATGTAATAGGGACTTTATACATCTATAGGTATATTTTAAAGTATAAAAATAAGCTATAGAATAAAACAAATCGGACAAGCGCGAGTCGAATTCACTCAGGAAAGATTTCGCATCATCATACATGTTCTTTTTATTAATATGACTTTTAGTAGGTATATTAACTTGGATGATCGATTACGAATTTCAAAAAAATTTTCTTGTATTTTTATTTTTAATATGTTTTGTTATAGCGGCAATAGAAATACATATTCTGTGAAATTTTTAACTCTCTGCCTATTACGGTTCATAAGATACAGCCTCTGACAGAAAGACGGACGGGCAGCGAAGGCTTAGTAGGTAAAGGGATTCCGTTAGCAGTTTAGCACCCTTTGGGTAGATACGGAACCCTAAAAATGAAACAAATACAAAGGTAAAAATTCAATAAAGTAACTTTTCAGTTCATCTTGCACATCATTTTAATTACGTGACGATCAAATATGTCTTTATGCAATATTTCAATGGGTAAATAAATTATCTAAAGACTAATTTATTATACGACACTTTAACCTATTCACTGTTCTAGGGTAAGGGACAGCACAATGATGTTTATGATAAATGTAATAGAATATCATGGACGATATGACATATGCGTGTGCGCAGTGCGTGCGAATATCAAGTGATTTGCTTAAGATATAAATTAAACTTCAACAATATGATGACTACACAATACTACGTATATTAGTAATAGCAATTATATATATACTTATTATTTTTCTTTATTAGTATGCTTTTAATTAGGTTATAGAAAAATGTAACAAAAAGACAAACAGACCTTCTTTCAAGAAATATTGTTTAATTTCATAAAAATGTGAGGGTTATCACTTTACGTTAGATTATTTTAATGAATTATATAGATAGAAAATACGAAGTCGATTCTAGAATATTTTTAATTACAAGAAAGTTCTATTATCACTATGTAACACCATATTACTCGTGTATTGACGTACAACGCAAATAAAGCAACGTGCGAAATCTAGTGGCATGTTACATAGACACATTTGTAAAGTATAAATAACCATTACATAAATCAACATTGACCAATGCACGCGTCAAAAAGTGACGACTGCACTTGAAATTCATCCACCAAAATAAAAAGAAAACGTTTCAAGAGTAAAAATATCGATAATGTATTTTAAGTGTGCATTCAGCCTATAATGGGAGCCTCAGAAGCTTGTAAGTTTGTCATTGTATGCAAAGTTTCTTCCGAGCAGGTGATGAACACACCTTCAAAACAAACTTGATAGAACGAAGATATTTACCAGAGAATGAAATTTCTAATCTCAACACGTATCGATTTGAATATTACTTACATTTCTATAAATATATGCTTTTATTAATAGATTTCGAAGGAATCATGGTTCTGTTTCCGCTATTCTAGAAATTTTACTTTGCTGTAGCAAAACTTTACTTTAATTTTTTTTTCATACTATTACTATTTGCTTTTTTCTACTTTAAGTACTATCTATATTCAGAAAAAAAATTATATTTGTAAGTTAAATTTCTTATAACTTCCATTTAGTGTTTTCAATATCAAGTGTCACCTAGTTACTTTATATTATTGCCTTAACTCGTACCAGCATAAATAATAAATTAAAGGAAACAGCTCAAGAATCATAATAAAATTCACTCAGACAACTGGTATAAAAACAAAAAGATCATCGGAATTCCCATAAAAGAGACATATCGCATTTTCTTCCATACATTTAGGTGCTTAATGCTATGTACATATATTGTTAAATTCTTAACGCCCGTCGCATTGTGATCTGATAATAGTATTCAGTTTGCTATTGACATACATGTGTCGAGTGATCGGCGAACACCGCGCCCGGCGCGAGACTCATCCGACCACTGTTCTCCGGTGCATACTTCAACTCGTCTTATTATTTCATACCATTGTAGGCGCTGACGCACATGAATATGAAACGGCTTCAATAGAGACGTTGTCATACATCTGCTTTTGATGGACAGTAGCTCGATGTGACAGTTACGCATCGGTAATAAGATCTGTTTATTGTTCGCTTCAAACCTTGAACTAGTGTCGACGAGGAAGTGAGGGAAAAGCCGTTTGTTTCAGAATATTATCATACTTGTCTTGCTTTGTTCCTCATTGCCCTTGGGCTTTTGTTTGTTTGAATTAATCTGCTACAAAGTCTAACGAGGTCTTCCTATTAAGTAGTTGCAAGATATTGTTCCATGTAAGACATAGCGCTGAGTACATTTGCATTGGTACAATCAACATTCGAAGATTAGCTGTTGACCTCGACTTCTCTTACGTGATATTTAAAAATATATAAATTAAGATTATTACAAACTAGCGATTTAATCTCGCTTCACTCGAGTGCGATCCTATCTGTCTGACGGTAGCCTATGTGTTAGTCCATGTCATCTGTCATAATCTATCTGTGTACTAATTACATCCAAATCAGTCCAGTCGTCAACTTTCGCATTTATTATAGTAGTCCGAGATAATATAGTTTACAAATATGTACTGTGTCGTTTTTGTATAAAATTCATATTAATTAACTAGCATTGCCCACGGCTCCGCCCGCTTTCAGGTGACCAAAAACCAAATTATTAGGTTTTACATATTAGTATACTCTTACAATGCAATTTTTGTATTTTTTCTCCGAAATGAGATATTTTCCCGCTGTAAAAAGTATCCTATATGTTGACCAGTGGTTTTCTCGTGATGCGGTAACAGACAGACAGATATACGTACAGACAGACAGACAAAAATTCTAAAAACTATAGATTCGGACGCTATCGATAATAATGTCTATTTCAATAAGATTTTCCAAAAGATATTTAATGTACAGATTCGACTTAGTTACAATTTTATTATATGTATAGATTTCTTTAAGCGATTTATACAGGTGTAACATCTACAATTTCAGTTTACAGGTGTCAATATAGGTAAGTAAATGTTTGTCGTAAGTACGTACCTAATTTGTCTACTACACTTAACATATTCCTTCAATTAAAAGTATTATATTATGTCATCTGCAGTTTGAATAACAATTTACACATTGATTATATGTTTTCTTTTTTCTCATAAACACATTAAAATATATTTACTTTTGTAGGAAGATTATATTATAGAAAAGAAGATGGTTACATCCCGCTGTTATTTAATTTTATAGTTTTCTTATAGTGCGTTGCTAAGCTTGAATTGGCATTTATTTTTATTTATATAAGACTAGCACTTCTTCCAATCGCTTCCAAACTTCAGAATCACTCGCTGAACTAATCTGAAGATTGCTGACTATTTCATTTAAATCGCTCGAGCCGTTTTGGAGTCCATAGGGAACACACATACACACATCAATTTTTATTGATATATAAGACAATTCTAGTTATTTTAGATAGATATAAATTTATTTAATGCACTTACTTAGCATCAATATGCAATATCTTCATGTCCATAGCGTGGACAGTAGTGAACACGTTGGTGGCGCCATGTACTACACACTCTCGCGTCTCGGGCATGGCGAGCGGCGTGCACGCTGCGAGGAACACGGGCTCGTTGCGGCTGCACAGCGGTAAGTAGGAGACGTAGTGACCGCGCACTAGGACCACCTGGGAAGATAAAGTAAATTTAATTTGTTCAGGTAATCGGACTAGTAATATAAATGCGAAAATATGTACGTTTGTTACTTCACACTGAAATGGCTAGATTGATTTTGATGTAATTCAGTACACAGATAGATTATGACCGGCCTACAGCCTAACAGCCTTGCGCTTTCTACTAAAGTCGATGTTTTATTTTAACAATAGTCTCTTAAAAATGTAATATAGAATTGATTTGTGTAAATTAATATTTTAAATGGCGTATGTAAACTATAACATTTCGACGACAATAACTTTTAAAGTGATCATAATAAAATTATTTAGCGCTACTTTGGTTTCTATAATTTTATAATTTTTAAACGATGTGTAATATTATGAGGCTATTGAAGTGACCTCACAAGATCATGTGTTGTCAAACTTCTGACCTCATTTTAATTTCATTGTATTCTCGTCAATCGCTTTAAACCTTGTATCGAACAATCTTTTTGATATAGCCATATATTTAATAACTATTACACAACTAGATTAAGGTTACGTATCAAAAAGCATTTCTATTGCCATCGCGACAGTCGCATTCACTCGTAGCTATGACCGCTTGGCTTCAAAGACTGTAGGCGTGGTGCTATGACATTCTTCAGTTTTAACAACAATAGGTAGATAAGAGCTGTTCGACACAATAGTTCACAGTTCAACCACTCACCGGTAATCTTCGATCCGGGACTGTGGCCTTGGTATACATTTTATTGAACGTATTCATACTATGTTGCCAAATCAATTGTACTCATAAACAGTCGAGTTACTTGTAACTACGCTACTAAGATTGCATGTATAGCGAAATCGATATACCAATTTGTAGCATTTAAGAGGATACATTATCATTAACACCATAAAGTTGTTGTAATTGAGTGAGGAAATCTGAATATGTTCAAGTCTTACGAGATATATGATTTGTTTTGTAAGACATTATAACTAATAAGTTAACATATGTAATAATGCAGCTTATTTTGAAAGTATTGTGGAAAATAAGCGTTAAAACTTACACTTATATGAGTAAGCGTTATTAAAAACAATAGCCATTTTAAAAATAATGTATGTAGTGAAATATGTGCATTGTGATTGGATTTGAAATCACTTACAGTATTTATTAAGGGCAGAAATAATATTTTTATACCAGGAAATAATTTTATTATAAAACAAAATGCGAACGAGTTTTTACATTGCCAAGATTTATTAGACTTATTGCTATAAACTGCAAGTTAAGTCAATAATAACCTTAATGAAATCGTAAAAAAACAAATAATTTATATATAGTAAGAAAGAATAAGTATTACGGTAATGATCAGTAATCATAATATTGATTTATTTGATATGAGACGAGTATTAAAATATTTACTACATGCGTTGTAGATAGGTAATATTTTACTAGTCCATGCACGAGTCAAAATATTTAAAAGATAGACTTTGTAAAAAAAATATTTAATTAAACACTTTTTACAATTTATATCTTAAGTCTATCTATTACTAGAAACTGGGGTGATGTGAACACTGTTACTCGCCAACTCGCGGTTTATATACTGCTCCTGCGGGGGGTCGCGACGGGATGCTCCACACGTCGATGTTTTGGAATGTGCTAAATGTCCATAAAAATAATGTTTCCTGATTATTCATTGTCTTTCAGCACTATCGGATTCTTGTAAGTCCATGGTGTGGTAACTGGAATGCGATCTAATTGCTTATTGTCTTTAATATACTTAAAGTTTATATTTTTATCAAGTTCTATATTCTGGGTGGCTTGACTGTCCCCCTCCAAATTCGAAGTCCATGGTTTAAAACAGACCTTGGATCGGAGAATTTTAATCAAGGTAATTATAATTATTATTAAAGTCAAGATACCAATCCAACTATATTGTATAATATTATGATTTCCTTCTTCAAAATTAAAATTCTCTATTTGCTTTAATTGCTTTAATTTAGAGTTAATATTTGAAGCATCATAATTTAATTCTATTTCAGTAAAAGTTTCAATTTTCTGAGTATCAATATTCGCAATAATTATTTTATCATTTGATTCCTTTGTTTGAAATATATTTAATCCAGATATTTTAAGTTCACAATTTTCACCATAAAGAATATTAGATTGCTTAGTCCACACCGTTTCCTCGTGCTTATTACATTTAATATAAACTTCCGTAGTTTTATTAAAATACATATAAATTGCTTTAGGAGAAATTTGGAGAATCTCTTGATTAGGACATTTAACATTTACTGTTTGACATTTATTACTTTCTTTCTTATATAAAATCTCTGTTTCACAAGAATCTATTTTAATTAGATTTCCTTTACAAATTAAATTATTTAATTCCATACAATCAAAAACTTCATACGTTTCTTCGTTATCAAACGCAAGAGTTACCTTTTGCATAATAGGATAGGAACAGGATGGGTAATTATGGATAATGGGTACAATTTTTCGACTCTTATAAATCTTACTCTTAACTAAAGGAATATTAATCATAAAATAAACAATTTCATTTATAATTTTACTCTTTACAGTTAACAAAGGCTCTAAATCATTTATATTATTAGAAATAAGTAAATCTTTTGGGATATTATTTAAAGTTTCTAATAGTAAATGCGATTGTAATATACTATAATGATACATACTGTGTTCTGAAATAACAAGTTCCTCTATGTGATATGTTTTACCATTACTTAATTTATACTTGTTATGAGGTTCAACACTAACTATTTTATATGGACCTAAAAATCTACTTTTTGTTTTATGACGTTCCGCCATACTATTTTTAAGATACGCGGTGTCACCTATTTTAAATAATTTCGGGGCCCTAATATTTTTATTAATTCGTTCATTTCTTTGCTCTTTCTGTTGTTTAAGTATATTATGTATATTTTTATTTAGTTCTTTTACAAAATCGCGTTGCTGTGCCGTATACTGCTGAATTACAACTCTTAAATTATCAAAGCTACGCAGCTTAGGTTTTCTACCGAAATGCACTTCAAATGGAGTTAAATTTATAGAACTATGTGTAGTATTATTATATGAATGAGTAATAAAATATATTTTTTGAGTTTTATCTAATTCCGACTCTCTTTGTAAACGATATAATTCTTGTAACGTATTATGAAGTCTTTCTACATCTGCATTAGATTTATGATGTTGTGGGGAAGTAGTATGATCCTTTATATTATAAGTTTTAAATAATTCTTTAATAATCTCGCTACAAAACGATTGTTCACCATCATGAATAATTTTATTAGGTGCTCCTATAAATGCAAATATTTCGGATAAAGTATCATAAACTTTAGTTTTTTCTGTGGGTTTTACAATAGCATATTTAGAAAATTTATCAATAATTGTTAAGTACCATTGTCGTTCTAAAGACATAAAATCAATGTGCCATACATCCATAGGTTCATAAGGGGTTTCCGTTTCAAAAAATAAAGTTTTATAAGGGTGTCTATTATATTTTTCCTTTTTACATATTTCGCAATTTGTAATATATTTTTTAATTAATTTTCTCATATTTTCAAAATAATATTTATCACGAAGCTGTTTATATACACTTTCTACACCAGCGTGCCTATTTTCTAATAAATGATACTCTTTAATTAAATTTAATTGTTCTTTATCATCTATTTCCACTAAATTTTTCGTATATCTAATTGGCTTAAACTTACTGTGATCGAAATACTTTCTATAAACTTCCGAAACTTTATAATATAATTCATCATTAGGGATAATAAATGCGTATTTCTTTTTACTTAAATATTCTAACATAAATTCTTTAATTATTTCTTCTTCATTATCAGGTGGAATATAAAAATAATACATACCCTTTTTATGTTGCGCGTCCTTATAAGGTGCAACTTCGAACACTACACGTCTTAACCTTTTAGGTGGATAAGTATTACTAATAGGAATACCTTCATCGCTGTCTTGTTGACATGAATGCACTGTATTTAACGATTCATTGTTTTCGGGGGAAGAATGCGCTATACCACTACCGTATTGCGTTGAATTGTTATCACTATGTGGGGTACTATCAAGTGACATTTGTTCACCACATTGTGCTTGTAATGACTCTACACTAGTATGATGCAATTTTATTCTACTTAATGGATCTGCTACATAATTTTCTTTACCTTTTACATGTTCAATAGTATAATCATAATCTTGTAATTTTAATTTCCAACGTGTTAATCGCTGATTCGGTTCCTTTAATTTAGATAACCATATTAATGCTTTATGATCAGTTCTTAAAATAAACTTTCTTCCATATATATAGGGTCTAAACTGAGTTACAGCCCATAAAATACCTAATAATTCTTTTTCAGTAGTATTATATTTTTGTTCACAACTACTTAATGTCCTAGATGCATACGCTATAGGATGATTATCCTGGCTTAAAATCGCGCCTAATGCTATATCAGAAGCATCGGTTGTAATAACGAACGTTTTATTAAAATCTGGAAATGCTAAGATCGGTGCGTTAGTTAATAAGTGTTTACATGTCTCAAACGCCTCTATATACTTTTTATTCGTTATATCTATAGTCGCATTTTTCTTAGTAGCTTCAGTTAATGGCTTTATAATTTTACTTAAATTAGGAATAAATTTTCTATAATAACCTATTAATCCTAAAAAACCTCTTATTTCCTTTAATGTTTTCGGAATAGGAAATCTTTGTATAGCTTCTACTTTATTTTGGTTTGGTTTTAAACCATCTTTATTTAAAACGTGCCCTAGAAACTCTATTTCTTCTGACATAAAAATACATTTATTTTTATTTAACTTTAAATTCGCTTTTCTAAGTGCTTCGAAAACTTGTTGTAACTTATTAATATGATCTTGTTTAAATTTTGAATATATTATTATATCATCTAAATATACTAAGCATATATTTCGAGAAATCTCTGTTTTTAAAACGTTATTCATCATACGTTGAAATGTTGCGGGTGCGTTCTTTAAACCAAATGGCATTCTAAGA